CTTCCTTGGACGTTCGTTGAACACTGTTTGGCTTCTAAAGGTCGTGGACCGCAGAGTTAGTCATTCATGAGAAGCAGGAGCCAGCACATCACTTTCAATAAGTCATTCAACAAGTCATTGGTATATATCCAAAGACATCCCAACAATTCAACTGAGCGACTCAACAAACATTTGTGAATAATCATTCACCGTTGAGAGGTTATTTGCCATGTAATCAAATTGGACGCAAACATCTCCAGGATTGCGTGGCATAGTCCAGTCATTGGATCACCGATCCGAAGTCTGCCGAATTCATTTGTAAATTCGAGCCGGATCTACTTGCACACGTTGTCCTTACTACCCAACACCTCTGCCGTCCACAACGATCTACGAGTCAAGAGAATTGAGTACGTCTCATGCAATATGCTTCCAGTATTTCGGTGACGTAATATTTCGTAATCCGTCATCACGATTTCCAACAACCGTCTTTAGAATGACCTGGCGATCTAATCTAGTGAAGAGCTGTTATCGAATCTGCAACTTACTTTAGTGAATGCGGGTTTTAGAATCTGTCCTTCTATTTTGTATAAATTGAGCAACGAAACAGCTGCACACAGTTCCAGTGTTCGTGTCGTAATAATTTAAAGAGGAACCACTGCTGATTTCGAACAAATTAATTGTGAGCTAATTTTCTCAACTGAATTCGTATAACGTATATGGTGATAGGCGCTGTAGGCCATTCCACTGGCATCGCAAAGTCCATGAAATTTTCTGCCTTGCCTCTGCTTTGTTGTTATTTGCTGCCGCATAGTTGAGTGATTTAAAACATGTACATATTCATAAAAATTCTTCCATGAAGTATATAAAGAGATAGAAGGAGATTCATACAACAATAGTTTTTGCTGTCAAAGTTGTTGCATGAGGATTTTTACTGTGATGGTAACAGGTACAATTAATCCTAGTTAGTCGAACAGTTTGGTTATTTCTTATAATACCATCCGCCTTCTTATTTTGCCTTGGATGGGATGGTCTAATACCGTATAAGCAATGGTATCTTCGATAAAGTGCCAATAAATTCCTAAGGCGTTTATAACTGCGCTTCCATTTTGACATATACAAGGATTTATTACGGTTTCGGGAACAACATCCAAAATACATTTGACATTTGAGCACCACTGCAGTGAATGGAAAACTGGATTTCTCAAAAGCTTAATGACTCGGACTGAATTTGGCTGGCTTCTCCTAAGGTTTTAGCCACTGTTTGTATATCGTCCACGTGAAAGTTCTTTGAAGATATTGCTGCTGTTTTTGAGTAACTATCTTTCCCGGTTTCGGCTAATTGTAATAAACTCCGGACCACTAAGAAATCGTATTCAATTCATATCTCTTTATCATTTCATCGCCTTTTCTTCGCCGCAATGTTCGTATAAGCTTACAATCATCGGCATGTACCATGATATGATGAAGCATCTTTTCTGTATCTGCAGAAGGAACATAAATGTGGATGCGCAAACGAGTTACAACAGAGAACAGACTTCCTTAGGTAGTCGACCCGAGTATTAATATATCATAGAGTGATACTCCTGTTGTAGTTTTAGTAGATCCGTCGAAAACTACTCTACGATTCGTAGTAGTGATACAATCTTGTATGACAGTATGACGAGGCATAAGATAACCATTTTTGAAGACCTACTGCCTTTGTCCCTGACATATATTCAAACTGTTCATGATCATAGAACAAGTGGTTCTATTGTTCTTTTAGTGCCAGATTTATATTCGAG